CCGACTGTCGAAGAAAGCCAAGCTAACAAGTTCCTGTGACAAATACCACAAGTGATTGGAAAACTTGCGTGATGTTGACTTCAAGATCGCTGAATGGATTGATGAATATTCAATCAGTGACTTCAGCAGCAGCAGATCATTATAAGGAGCACCTGATGCTTGAGGTGCAGATATCCAGGCTTTCAGGTAGACTTGTACTGTGAATACACACATGTCACATAATCCTCTCACTTCAGCAGGAGTCAATTTAAATTGAGCCTTAAACATCCAGATCTTGAGACTGTATATGACTTTGGACATCCAGCGGGCATGGTGCATTGCTCCAGGTGACATAAATCGCACACCTCTGGCAGGAGCAGCACCAAGAAAAATAATCACAAGTTCCAAGAGTTCTTTATAATCATCCCTCAACTGACTCTGTTCAAGATGCTTGTTGGCATAATCGATAGTGTCTTGCTTTATGTCAGCCATGAGACGTTCAAAATCATCAGTTGCAATCCCTGGCTCATAATTAGCTGTGTCTATGAAACCCCAGTATTGCTAGAAACGTTTGAATAGTGGAACTTCTGGACAAGATGTTGCTCCCATACACACTTGGAACACTGCACCAGTTATCAGTTCCATAATGTGATGCCTACAAGCCAGTGATAAGAGCTCTTTCTCAAGTTTCTGTTCTAGGAGGACACAGGCACCAGCAAGCCGACCAGCATTTGAGCTGGTCGTGTCAAAACACATTGCACGGATGCTGTCGGCTATGCCCCAGTTTTCAATGGCTCCAAAGACGGCAGCAGCCTGTGCCTCGCCTGTTCCAGAAGGAAGCTTGGCAACTGTGAGTAGCTGAGAGACTCCTTTTCCTAAAACCAATACGGGCAGGCCATCAACTTTCTCTTTTCCAAGTAGATCAGGAATCAGTTTGCCGTCCCAGTGAACAACAGGAACAACAGGAACGTTATCCCGAAACTCGGCTTTTATATTTGCAGATCTCTGAACTCTGTGTTCCAATCTGTGTCGGCGAATTGAGTCTCTGTTAAGAGCAAATTCATTGATATTCTATCCTAAGCTTTGGCAGTTTCTGCTATAACAAAAACAGCCTTGCGGTCTGACATTTTTGTTTGATCTAGAGCTGCAGCGAGTTCCGGAGTAACAACAGTTTTTCGTCCCCTATTTCTTTTAGGTGTCTGAAAAGTGGTGCCTCCATCAGCTCCCTCATCTGCATTGTCACTAGTTTCAGTCTCTTCAACATGCTCTGCTGTACTGTTTTCAGATTCAGAACTAGACGATTTCAGTTCAGCTGTAGAAACGGCTAGCTGGTTCATTTGCTCCATTCGCTGTTGCCTGACAAACATTTGCTCCCTTCTTTTGGAAGCCCTTTTTTCCTTAGCAGCAAGTGTTTCATCTACTCCAGCCATTGACCCCCTTCTTCCCTTTTCTCGCTGGGCTACTAAGAAATCCTTGTCTTCTTGTAAAACTGATGTATTGGTCAGGGCATCGGCGTGAGCGACATCAAAGAGATCGTCAAGTCTTAAAACAAAAGCCGACTTTCTCCCAAGTTGAGTTGTTGTTTTTCGCGCTTTGTTTTTCTTAAGAAGACGCCATTCTTCAAATGTCTGTTCAAGCTTTGTTTGGCGGTTCTGATGATCTCTCATCGGGATTCTTTTTGCCAAAACTTTGTTATTTCCGTGATGGTAACAGCCGATGATTGTCTTATAGTCTCCTTTAATTCAAGATAGTGGTACAAGAAAAATCCAAGTGCCATACGTAATGATAACAGCTTGCTGCCTGTTAATTCAGTAATAGTTTTGCCAAGTAAATACAACTCAGTTTGAGATCTGGTTATTTTTGCCCGAGATGACATTTTCAATAATTCAGAATTGAATATTTATCTGAAATAAATATAAAAAATGCATTGGAAAAATTTGACCATTTGAAGTCAGAAATTTTAACATGTATTGTATGGTTTATTTAATTATTTTTAAAAATATATTGTATATTACATATAATTTATGTTCATTTATTTATCTCATCATCATCATCACATTCATCAGCATTATCAGTTTTACGTCCATATTATAATATAGATTTAATTAATTATTAATATATTTACTATTTACAATTTTACACTCACAAGACACAAAGAGTTAAGGTATTTTAATATATCAATCTTTTAGTTTACCAATTGATGAGAATCAGGTAATGGAGAGAAGAAAGTCAACACCAAAATTATAGAAATCTTCTTTAAATTTGAAAATCAAGAAAATTTATTTAAACAATATTTCAACTTAAATTGCCATTTATATTTTAATAACTAAAACAATGCCTCTATTTAGTAAACAAAATAAGCATACAGCTTTAACAGTGTTGCTTAGTCAGCAACTCAGCATTGCAGTAAACAAGGCTGTCTAGCTAGTGATCCTGTCTGTCTAGGATTATGTTTTGATTTATGTAAAAATTACACAGTCAGCAAAAAATTGAATCTGGGTTATTTCCATTTGCCATGATTGCATTGGTTGGTCAATGATCAAATATGATAGTATAGACCATAATTGTGGAGTATATGATGATTTAGGACAGTGCAATTTAGTTTTGTAGTTAAAATTAAGTTCTTAATTGTATATATGTATAAATATATATATATATACATATATACATATATACGTATATGTATATATATATATATATATATATATATATTTATGTATATATATATATATATATATATATATATATATATATATATATATACATATATACATATATATATATATATATATATATATATATATATATATGTATATATATATATATATATATATATATATATATATGTATATAAGTATATATATATATATATATATACATATATACATATATATGTATATGTATATATATATATATATATATATATATATATATATATATATATATATATATATATGTATATATATATATATATATATATATATATATATATGTACATATATATATATATATATATATATATATATATATATATATATATATATATATATATATATGTATATATGTATATATATATATATATATATATATATATATATATATATATATATATATATATATATATATATATATATATATATATATATATATATATATATGTATATATATATATATATATATATATATATATATATATATATATATATATATATATATATATATATATATATATATATATATTTATATATATACATATTAGTTATTTCAAGCACAAAATATTTTTTTATAGGATATTTAGAATATATTAAGAGAAAAATAATTTAAAAACAATGAAAAATATATATTAAATTTTTTGGAAGAAACTAATCGTATATAAAATAAGAAAAATGTTGAAAATCGCAAAAAAATAAAGAATTATTTTACAGCGAATTATAAGAATGTAGAAATACTTTGTTTTACACTGTTATTTTATTTTTTATCAACTATTTTCTTTTTCTTCATTATTTTATTATATTTTGAATTTATTTCAAGGATGTTGATGTATCTTTGTTGGTCTATTCGACCACTAACATGTATAGACCTGGGCTATCATATGTGATGCAGCCCCAAATACCAACTGCACCACCTTCACCTTGTAGTGTAGGTACAATACAGTGGCTATTATACTTTTTATTGTGGTGCCTACGGACAAGTACTTTGTTTTTACGATTTAGGATGGTGTAGTTAAATACATCACTAAAAATAATTTTTGTTAATTCATAATTACTCATTTTTAAAATTGCTTTGCAAAATTTAATTCATTTTAAACAGTCTGTTGGTTTAAATAATGTTTTTCAGGCAGCAACATAGCACTACAGCTTACGGTCTATTAGTCTTCTATTAACAGTTTGCCTTGATATTTGATTTTTAAGTGCCAGGATTATTTCTTGTGCAATCTGTTTTGCTTAGTATTTAGGATTTTTTCTGACAACTCTATAAATAGAATTATCATCAGTGATATTTGTCTTTCTTTGTCGCCCAAAACAATTTCTGTCAGCAGTACTACCAGTTTCATTAAACTTTGCAATAGTTCTCTTTACACATGATGGTGAAACACACTTTAAAGTTCGAGATATTTCAATGTTAGAGTGACTAAATAAATATTAAGGCCAATAATATGTTGTTTGATTTCTTGACTTTCTTCCCATGGGAAATTTCAAATTTTCTATTATTATTATAATCTAGAATTAAGCAAAAAAGATGAATTAATTTAAAACAAACTTTTAAAATGCTGCATACTACTTTAAATATATTTTTGTAGAATTTCATTAAAAAGGAAAGTTTCATTTATTATGATGCAACTTTTACTGCTGAAAATTTATAAAAGCTCTCCTTAAAAGCTTTAAGAAGAGCTAGCAAGCTAAACTTATGAGCAGCTTTTTTTTAAAGCTTAAAATACCGCTTAATGTATGTACTTAAAAATGTTTAACTTATACAGTTCACAACCAACAATTTACTTAATTCAAAGTTAAATTTTATAACCAAAACACTAAGTAATTAAATAATGATAAAAAACCTAAAAATGCATATGCAAAACCTAAAATATGGTGATTTAAGACCCCTGTCAGCATAAAAAGACTTCTTTGTTTAGTATCATTATTTAAAGTTAAATTTATTTTAATGTTTTACCTTAGTATACATTGTTATGGTTTGATCAAAAAAAGTTTTTATGTTTAAACCATATACTAGATTTTATGTTTACCGTATAAATCATAAGTTAAACATAAAATGTAGTGTCTGGTTCAATAGGCAAAAATATTGACCAGAGTACTTTAACTACAGGCTCCTCAAATTAAATGTTAAACTGAACATTTAAAATTTTTTTTTTTTTTTTAATTAAATTTTAGTTTTAAACAAATTTTTTATCACTTGTGAAAGGTTAAATAAATAAAAAACTTAAATTTTTTTAATTTTTACTATCTTCTGTCTCACTGTGCAGTAATATAAAATTGTTCTTGATGTCAAAATTTTTTTTCATTTAGATTACATTATTCAAAATAAAGAAGTTGGATTAATTCAAGGTACACTTCTTGCTACTATGAATGTTTTAATGAAGAATTATACTGTGTCTTTTAATATAAAACCAACAATTTACACTAATGGCTTAAAAAGTGTGCTTAGTTTAATTTCAGATGAAAATTTAGATAGGAGATTTTTAAGTATTTTCTTTCACAATGGTAGTTCTGGAAAGCTTGTTATTTTTGCAACAATTAATAATTCAACTTACCAGATTGAAACAGCTCCTCTAATTTTGAATCAATGGTATTCTATTAAAATATGTCAAACCCTTGAGGGCATTATTTATTGGTTTTCTGTTGAATTAAATGGATTCAATATTTATAAAGAAAAAAATTTTAATGCAGAAGAATTGAAAAATATAAAAGTTTATGCATCTGATCCTTTATATGAGTCTCAAAGTGGTTTTATTTCAGACATTTTAATTTTAAACAAATATGCTGGTTAGTAAAAGTATTTTTTTTATAACAAAATATTATATTGTATATTGAAAGTATATTGAAATTTATGTAAATTTATATTACTATACTAGTATGTTAAAATTTACATTATAAGAATAATAATAGTAATGATCTACGTTGAGAGTATTTCACTTGCAAATAATAATAATTTAACCAATATTAGTAATGATATTTATTACAATAACAATATTAACAATAATAATAATAATGATGAAAATGATGGTGACAATGAAGATGATGAAAATCATGGTGATGATGGTTACAATGATAATGATGATGATATAATAAATTTATTAAAAATAGATTATTAAACAGATTAGTTAAGGTTAGTAACTATCCATTTGTATAAAAACCTTTTAATATTGCAATCGAAAAAAAAAAAAAATTACTTGATAAACTAAACTTTAACAACATAAAATATTGTTCTGCCATGTCTTTAAGAACATGTTCAGCCATGTCTTTAAGAATAATTTTTGTCTTTAAGGTATAAATAAACAAACTTAATGTCTTTATAAAATTTAGTTTTATAATATCAAATACATTTCAATAAAAGCACAACATATCTAAGAATGATTATTTTCTCAAGAAAGCTAACAAACTTAACATCTAACAACTTCATATAATTCATTTTCATAATACCAAATGGATTGTAAATGAAAATTTTTTTGATGGGAGTAAATTAAGGGATTTATGTAACATAGCATCTATGGTGTTTTAAAACAAATCTTTTTTAAGAGTAATCATTAATATTTGTTCCTTATGATTTGTATTATTCAAATCATAAGGAGCAAATATTAATACAAAACATCTTAAAACAGCAGGCTTAGCAACACCTCAAAATTGCATGTTTAAGTGTATAGTCTTGAATTTAGAAATAATGTTTACAAAATAACTGAGGAAACTTATATAAGTTTCCTCAGTTATTTTGTAAACATTATTTTAGATGTTAAGTTTGTTAGCTTTCTTGAGAAAATAATCAAATTGAAAATAAGCAAATTGTTATATAACAAGTTCCTCTAAAGGGACTATTATAGAAAGCACAAACAATAAAAAAAAGCAACCACAACAAAAAATAACAAAATTCCATGTGCGTTGTTATTTTTTTTTTATCAACATCTTCATTTACAACAAGGCTGCAAGCAACTACTATTAGAGTTGAAAGTTACTGGAAGAGAAAAAATGAAATTTATTAAAATTAGCAAAATGATAATTGAAAAACAATTAAAAAAAATTGCAAATTATATGAATCAGGAAAACAAGATAAATGATGTCTTTTAACATGGAGTCTATCTATTTTCTATTATAAAGCTGTTAGACAATGGTATTTATTTGGAGGCAAAGTATTGAATAATGCCTGCATTTTCAGACATTTTGTAGAAATTAATTAATTTTTTTTTCAACATCTTCACTTTAAACAAGGCTGCAAGCAACCACTATTAGAGTTAGAAGTTAATGGAAGAGAAAAGAGCAAGATAACAATTGACAGAGGACTTATATGATTGCAAATTATATGAATCAGGAAAGCAAGATGAAGGAAGCGAATTCCAAAGAAATGATGTTCAAGGAAAATATTTAACTGAATAAGAGTAATTAGGAATAGTCACAGTAAAAGGATGAGAATTGAATGACAAGTAACTCAAGAATAAATGAATTTTAGTAGATGACACACAAGGTGCTAGCTCTTTAGAGCAGTGTCCATTATAGTATTTATAGAAAAGAGAAAAAAAACAAAATTAAGATGATGTGATAATGGTTTGAGATTGGCTCCAAAGATGGATTTGAGATTTATAGAGATAAGAACAGAATTCAGAGTGGTGAGCATAGAAAGTGGTGAGCACAATAAAGAGATACAACCTTAGCAGATGCTAAGTTTAATTTTGCAATTAGTTGAATATATAATTTCCAAGAAAGATCGTAAGTAAGAGTTAATCCTAGAAGATAAAGTGTCGATGACTCATTGAGTACATTACCCTTCATAAAAATAGGAAGATCAAGATTATTACGATAAGGATTGGCTGAAAAAAATTGAGTTTTATCTGAGTTAAAGTTCACCAGCCACTGTGAGCCCTATGCTGTTGCAGAAGTGAGATCCTTTTTAAGCTGAAATGCCCCCTCCAAGCAATCAGAGAGTGTTGGCTTTTTATCAAGACAAGAACAAATGGTAATGTCATCAGCGAACAATGCTGCCTTAGATGCAAGAATTTCTGGAAGATTGTTAATGTAAATTAAAAAAAGTATAGGCCCAAGGATAGAACCTTGAGAAATGTCAAGAACAATAGTCTTAACTGCTCCACTTTTATCTAATGTACAATAAAACCTATCGGTTATTACTTTTAGCTTCACCCTCTCCACAATAATTTAATGCACAATAAAACCATTTATTATAAAATAATTTAAACAGTTAACAAATCAGCAATAGAAAGAGAAAATTGAAATCCATATTGATGATCAGAAAGTAAGTTATTTGATTCAAGATGAGAGATTAAGTGTTTGGATAATTATATCACTCTACAGAATTTTTAAAATTAGGGGTAACAGATGTTGCATTTCAGTAGGCTGGAAAACAAGACTCTGATAAGCACTTTTTAAATAGTTTTGAAAGTATAGACAACAGCTCTGGAGAACACTTCTGCAAGACTATAACAATTATGTTGTCCGAACCACAAGCTTCCTGCTTAGACTCTGTAGAAGAGTCTAAGCAGGAAAAGACACAGAAGCTGGAGTGATATGAGCATTAGGCAATAGAATAACCTGTTTGTTGGCTTTATCAGGTAGAATGCGTCTAGTGGAATCAAAAGATAATATTGATTAGAAGTTTTTAGAAAATAATTAAGCAGTTTGTCATTAGGCGAGATAACAAAATCTGCACCATTAAAGGTAGAGTAACAGATTTACCTTTCATATACTTATAGATACTGTTAAAGGTTCTCCAGAAGTCATGAGCCTAATTTTTGAGATAAAATACAATATTTTGGACAATCGGGCTTTAGCATTAGACAAAATCTTTTTACAATCTTTTCTAGCAGTAATAAACAGATATATGTTTTCTCTGAAATGGTTTTGCTGATAGGTATGAAAGTAAAGGTTACAATTGAAATTGCAGCAGCACAATGAAAGGAAAACGATGAAGAAGAGTGAAATTTGACTGGGAATCGTTGAGAGGGAATAATGGTTTCGATACCAGCCAAAAAGAAACACAATTCTCAAGAGGGAATAAAGGATTTTTCAGTCGCTATATTATTTTTTGTTTTCTCACTTTATATTATTTATTTATAGATAATTAATTTTATTTATTTTTAGTCCTTGTTTGATACCTAGTTATTTTATTTATTACATATATTTTTAATATTATATTCTTATAAACTTATTTATTATTGACTTATTTTTATTAATTACTGTTTAAGTATTTTTGTTAATGTTATTATTGGTTGCAGTAAACAATAATTAATTATTATTAGTATATACTAATATAGTATATTATTATAGATGATCAGTTTTTTTATAATCAGTATTTTTTGTTGTCATAGTTACTTTTAATATTAGTTTGTGTTTGACAAAGTTTAATTTATTTTTGTGGTTTAATTTTATAACTGGTAGCTTTTAGTAACCTTTAGTGTTAATCACTTTTTTCTATCATTCTTATTTTTTTATATTATTATGAAATTTATTTTCGATTACTCACATACAACATTATCTAAGTTTTAAATTATTAAATTTAGTTTTTTACTTTGCATTTTTTTTTTTAAACTTTATTTCACACTTTAGTCACTTTAACTAGTTATTACTCGATGTACATATATTATGGCATTATAACAAAAATATAACTGATAATCAAAGAGCCATCAAATGTGATCTTTGTAACTCATGGGTCCATGCAAAGTGTAACCATATTGATGCACACTCTTATAATCTTCTTTTGAATGGCTCGTTAGATTTGTATTGTTGTAGCTGTTTATCTAAGAGTATAATATTAGGGTTTAATATTGAGGGTTTAATATTGAGCATTATCCTGCTAAGGATAAAAAAGGTAGAGCACTTTTATACTTATGCTCAAATTTAAACTACGCAGTTCACGTGAATCAAATATAATAATTGGCTGCATTTATCGTCATCCTTCAATGAATCAACATGAATTTACTCCTTCCCACTTAACTCTTCTACTTTTATTATGATTTTTATATGGATTTATTAAGTCACAGTTAATCTAACCCTGTTTCAACATATCTTGTTTCTCTAACATTGTACTCACTAAGCCCTTCTATAATTTTACCATCACGCATAACGGCTACATCAAACATCTATCATCAGTAAGTGACTCAAAAATTGACTGCAAGATTTGACCCTTGCATACAAACAAACAAACAGACAGACAGAGACGGCAAATTAATAAAAGCATCTACCTAACTTCTAAAGTATCAAAACTACTTCATTATATTCAAATTTTAAAATGTCAATTTTTCTGGAACCACCAACACAATAACCTACCTTTCATCAAATTTTTTCCAAAAGTGCCATCGCTTGTTTTCACCTTTGTTCCAATAGTTATTTCTGTCTGTCTCTAAACACCACTTTCATAATTACAGGCATAAATCTATAAAATACCAAAACATTAAAACTTTGAACAGCCTTCCTAATGAACTAAAAGCTCTTAATTCATTCTCAACTTTTAAAACCAGTTTATTCTACTTTTTATTAAAAAAATACAGGTAATGTTTATAATTTCTATAACTAATTTTTGTTGTCTTGAGTATTGTTTTTTTAATTTCTATAATATATTTTGTTGTCATTACTATTGCTCATTGTTTACTTTATATTAGTAAATTTATTATTTGTAAACATCCTTGAATGTATAATCTTAATTCAGAAATGATTGATTAATTGATTGACAATATCAGCTTTTGATTTAGAGAAATAAAAAGTACTTTATTCTCAAGGGAAGTGATGTGACAACACCAGAAAAAAAAAAAAAGAAAACAGAAAATTAACCTCATAGGGATAACTCAGGGGCAGAAAAATTATATATGATGTGCTGGACTAGGTAGAGTTATATGCCGCAGAGCAAGTGTTGATTTTCAATATTTTAAAAATGAAGTATGCAATGTACCAAAACTAGCTGCATTTTTGCTCATGGAAAAAACTTTTTATTTTTATTAAATATGTTGCAAAGCAGAGGAAATGTCATGTCAATTGAATCAAATGTGATTTTTTACTATTTTTTGTCAAAAAATATAAGCACTAGATAATTGTTTAAAGTTGTTGTACCACATTGTGGGTAAATGCTCATATCGGTCTAAGTCGAACTTTTAGGTTTTTCAAATGTTTTTTATTTTACATTGATCAAGAGTCAACTTTTTAACTTAATATGTAAAACTGTTCTGTAAAATATGTAAATCTGTTAGTTAAAATATGTAAAACAGTTTTGTAAAATATGTAAAACTGTTTTTGTAAAATATATAAAACTCTTATGTATAAGTAAAACTGTTCTATAAAAAAAAAATTTATTAACAAAATTATTTTTTTTAAACTTTATTTCTATAAAAAAATTTTTTAGTTATCATAATGAATATTATAATTCTCAACTATATTTAAGTAATTATATTTTAGAGTACATCATTGGTAATGCACCTACTCCATTAGTGAGAAGAAAGATTATTGCTGTAATACCAATACTTTATTTGGAGTATATTATTTCTTTTGACATTAATCTTTCTAAGTTTGGTTCACGTTTGTACAATCTTATTTGCTTCAAAAGTAATGATGGTTTTAATATCTTATTTTATATTGATGATAATGAAAGTCTTCAAATCATCGCTCCAGCAATCGAACAATCTTTTAAAACAGATTTCAATGGATTAAGTCTGTGGTCAAATATTGTAATATGTCAGATTTACAAAAATTATAAATATTTATTTACAATTAGAATAAATGGATTAGATGTTTTTAATAAAGATATCTATGAACCTAAACGTTTCAATAATATTGAAGTATATGCTTCTTATTCATGGCATAATATTCAAAAAGGCCTAATAAAAAGCTTCTTTGTTGTTAATGACATTTCAAGTTAGTTGTTTTAATACTCTTATTTATATATATGTGTGTGTGTGTGTGTGTGTGTGTGTGTGTGTGTGTGTGTGTGTGTGTGTGTGTGTTGTGTGTGATTATGGTAAAAAATGTCTCTCAACAAATCATTGTGTTTAAAGTTGACAAAATCAAGTAAAAATGTAAAATCCTTTAAAATAAATGAGGAAACTAGTTTGATAAATTATATTTATTTTAGAAATTTTATAAATTATATTTATTTCAGAATTTTTTATTTTTATTTTTTTAATGTTTTTTTTAACTGTGTTTTTGCTTTTGTTTTGTTCATTCCTAAATAAATCAGTTTTTCCATTGATTTGTTTAAGAATTTGTACAGCAGAGTGTACATACATTGAATGATGTAATTAGGTAGAACATGCAAAGAGCTTACATATATCAACTGACATAAATAAGTAAAATGTGCAAGGAGTGCCACTACATTGAGTTTTTTGTTTAGGCAGGCTATCTATTAACTAAATAATTTTTTAAGAAAATTTTCCAGTTTTTGGAAAACCGCATGTTCATCATGCAGCACAAGACAATCATGAAAAAAATGATTGTTGATAGCCCGGACAACCAAAATGTTTTTTTATTTACAAAAGAATGTTTGTTGAAAGTTTTATTTGCATTTTGAATCATGTTTTTTCCTCAATTCAAAATGAGTTTTAAAATTACATTTTCCTTCAAATCAAAATGCTAATGTGTCATTTATTTAAATGTATTAATATTTATGCTGAAAGATATAGTTATCATTATTTAGAAAATATAATCGGTTAGCTTTCTTCTTATAATATAAACAAAATCAAATAAAGACTTAATGTCATCTAAAAAAATTCTTCATCAAAACATACTCAAAAATTCATAATCAAAACATACTCAAATTTTGCTCGGGTTTGGATAACTTTGTGTCGGTGCGATTTTAACCGTTTTTCACTTTATCAGCTTTCTTAGTCTTATTCGTATATTTTTTCAATGTTACTAAAACATTCGAAAACATATTCTTTGTTTATGATAACAATTTTAAAAATTTGCCATATTACATATTACTGAAAATTTTATAAAATTTGTGCATAAATTATAGTGACTTTGTAATAGAAACATTTTGAAACAATATCGTATATTATTAATTGTTTTAATTTTTCGTTTTTAGTGCTTAATAAATACCATTTAATTTAAAAAGTTTTTAGTGCTTAAATTGTAAGTTTTGAAATTTTGTTTTAATATTTAGTTTAAAGTTTTAATTATTTTGTATAACAATGCCGCGTGGGGTGCATAAAATGAAGAGATTAAGTAGACATCAACAAAGAAAATTAAAGGAAGCTAAACTTAAATCCCTTAAAAAATATGAAAGGTCAATACTTCAATACATAGATAACCCAAATGAAGGCCAATGTTCTTCAAAAGATAATACTTTGATATAAACTCCATTAGTAGTAGAAAGTGAAAATGAAGCTTCTAATAATAGCACCTTCACTGTTGACATGGAAAAAAACGACCAAGAAAATGAAGCTGAATCTCCACAAGTATTAGAAATCACCGATTTAGAGAAACATGATGGAAAAACTAACTTTAAAATCTTTTCTGGCGTGTCTTTTTGGAAATTACCGCTTCAAGACCATCTTTAAATTGAGATTATTAAAAAGGGAAGTTCTACATTTCAAAACAAAGATGGACCATTTAATGTAGTACAACGAAATGTCACTCAAATGAAAGGCCATGATCGGCCTTTCATTTGAGTGACATTTCACCCAACAGTGGAAATTTATACTGTTTTTGTTGTTGATTATTTGCCAGTAGTATTACCAATTTGACATCAAAATTCGTCACTGAATTTCAAAAATGGTGGAAATTAAATTCAAAAGTATATGAGCATGAATCATCTGACAATCATTTGCGATTTTTGGAAAAATAAAAGATTCTGTAAACAAATTTAAAATCTAATAATACAATCGATGCCGAAATTATTTCTTTTACAGAAAATGAAAAGAAAAAATGGCAAAACATATTACATAGGCTCTTAGATGTAACTTTGTTTCTTGCTAAGCAAAATTTGCCATTTCGTGGACATCAGGAGGATGAATTGTCTTTGAATAAAGGTAATTTTTTAGAATAAGTGGATTTGCTTTCAACGTATGACCCTATATTAAAGGAGCATTTAATTAAATTAAGGGAAAGTTATTCCAAGGTTTCGTATCTTTCCCCAAAAATTCGAAATGAATTTATCAGTTGTCTGGCAAGTCACGTAAAAGACAAACTTATTGAAGAAATGAAATCTGCGTGATATTTTGGCATGATGTTTGATAGCACTCCTGATATACCTCACGTGGATCAAATGTCTGAGGTGATCAGATAAATTAAGATTGAAAATAAAATGGTAGAAATAAAAGAGGCATTTTTAGGATTTTTTCCATTAAAAGGAAAATAGGCTCTGGACTTAAGTACTGAAATACTTAAACAATTAGAATTTGATGGGTTAGATATAATGATGTGCCGCTTCCAGGGATATGATAATGCTGCTACAATGGCTGGAATCCACAGAGGTGTACAGAAAATTATTTCTGATAAAAATAATAAGGCAATTTTTAATGGATGTATTGATCATTCCCTAAATTTATGTGGTCAGCATTCTTTTGCAGTAAATGCATCTTGCGTCACATTTTTCGGAACAATTGATGCAATTTATTTATTTTTTGCTGCTTCTACGCATAGGTGGGAAGTGTTAATAAAGCATAACAATATATCAGTGAAAAGACTGTCGACCACGCGTTGGAATGCACATTATAACACCGTAAAACCTCTTTAAGAGAATTTTGAAAAATTTATAGAAGCAATTGAAGCTCTTTGCAGAACCAATGAAAATTTAGATACAAGAGGAGCAGCTGAATCTCTTTTGCCGGCAGGGTGTCAATATACATTTATATGCTTTTTGTATTTTTGGCACGATATACTGGAAGAAGTAAATAATACTCAAATTCTACAGACAATAGGTCTATCTCTTGATAAAGTTATAATAAAAATAGAAGCTCTTAGTCTTTTTTTAAACGAAGAAAGGCAAAATGTAGTTGACAAGGCACCAAATAAAGCACTTTGTGTATCAAAAGAACACAATATTCCAATTGAGAGAAGAATAAGATTGAGAAAGAAGATGGCGGTAGAATTGGTATGTGATACTAAACTCACAATAGAAGAAGAAAATAAAAGAACTATGTATGTATGTATTGATCGTCTAAATGTTGAACTTCAAGCAAGATCAAAACCATTAAAAAATATTTTAGATATGTTTGAATGTGTTCAAGCTAAATTTTTAGTTTCTGAACATAATAATGAAGAAGACTTGAGGTTATCTATTAAAAAATTAACTTCATTTTATGATGAAATATCCCATGATGAACTAATTTTGGAAATTCTACGACTCAAGCGACATCTTAAAGCAGCAGGAATTAATTTGGAAGTAGTTAAAAATTGGACAGCTTTATATATTTTGACTTTCATCACAGAATGGGACTTCACAGAAATGCTTCCAATGCTTTCTCTCACCTTATATACCAAATAGTTAAGATTATTCTTAACTATTTGCGTGTCCGTTGCATCATGTGAAAGGAGCTTTTCAAAATTAAAACTGATAAAAAATTATTTACGATCAACTATGGGTTAATCAAGACTTTCTGATCTTGCAATATTATATATAGAGAGTGAGTTTATCAAAAGCATTGACTTTGATAACTTAATTGATAAATTTGCAAGTTTAAAAGAAAAGGAACATTTTAAAGGTTAAGTGTTATGAAAATTTAGGATAATAATTGTATAATGATTAAAAAATTTAGTTTAGTTTAGTGATAAAAACATTTAGTTTAGTGATTAAAAAATTAATTTAATGATTGAAAAATTTAGTTTTGTGATTAAAAATTAGTGTAGTGATTGCATAGTGAATAAAAACTATACAAAGTTCAAACTTTTGTGCATATTATTTTAAAAAATATATTTAGTTCATATAGATAGTAAATAATTAAGTACATTAATATGTTGTTATACATGAATACATCAGTGGCATAGATTCATGTATAGGACAGATCTGCATATTTAACAAAGAGTAAGTGAACGTTAAACTTTTTTTTCACAGATAAGAAGTTAAAAAATCAGTAGGTTTGCTATTTTATTATTATACTTTACTATTAAATCAAATCCAGGTACTACTGTTTTTTTAAGCATATAAAAGAATAAAGCTGATTTTAGACGATTTTAGATGAAAATAATTTATTATCCTCTAAAACAGAGATAATAATTATTTGGCAACAATTTAATTTCAAATAATTATTTTCTCTGTTATAGACGAGAATTATTTATAGAGAGTTATAGACACTAAATTATTATTGTTGAAAACAAGGTTTAAAATAACATGTGTCAACGTTTCTAAATACTGCTTTAATAATTTTGTTTATAAAAATAATTACATATAATATATGGGTGACACCCTATTTGCTGCCCTGGGTGACACCATAACTAGGAACGCCACTGTACATATATATATATATATATATATATATATATATATATATATATATATATATATATATATATATATATATATATATATATATATATATATATATATATATATATATATGTATATATATATATATATATATATATATATATATATGTATATATATATATATATATATATATATATATACGTATATATATATATATATATATATATATATATATATATGTATATATATATATATTATATATATATATATTTGTATGTATTCATATATATATATATATATATATATATATATATATATATATATATATATATATATATATATATATATATATATATAATTTATCTTTTGTTTTTATGCTTTTTTTGACTCACAGTCTCAACAGAAGACATTTTAAGTTTTCTGCTAACAATTTTCTCTTTAATTTGTTTTAGAGGTTTGGGATCCCTTTAAGCACTTAACTAAATAAAGTTTAGAATAAAGTTATTCTTTAAAAGAATCAGTTCCTAGTTTTACAGAGGTTTTATGAATTGT